TAGGTGCCTGTTTAAGACCATATAAGCTCCTTTTCAATTTGCAGACCCAATTTTCTTTGCCGGCAACCTGAAACCCTTCAGGTTGTGCCATGTAAATATCTTCATCTAGGTCTCCATGTAGAAAAGCGGTTTTCACATCTAGTTGCTCTAGATGTAAATTCTCTGCTGCTACAATACTCAAAACTAACCTGATGGTCGTCATTTTAACCACTGGAGAGAAAATCTCATCATAATCAACCCCCCTTTCCTGCTGAAATCCTTTGACCACTAAACGGGCTTTATACCGTTTAGACCCATCGTGCTCTTCTTTGATCCTGAACACCCATTTATTCTGTAATGCTCTCTTACGTCGCGGAAGCTTAACCAAAACCCATGTTTTGTTCTTTTTTAGAGAGCTCATCTCGTCCTTCATTGCATGCTCCCACTGGAGAGAATCTTTCATCTTGACTGCCTCGGAGTAACTTTCTGGCTCATCATTTTCTGTCAAGAGAATATAATTAACTGAAGGAGTATACCTATCTGGCTTCTTTGTAACTCTGGTGGACCTCCTGACCCACTGATCAGTGTGGTCAGATGGGGATTGTTTGTGTCTTTAAGTATATACACATTTTTCTTTAAGTAAAATTAAAATATCAAAAAAATGTACTATATCTATTATATTATTTTATTTTAAATTATGAACTGATTTTACCTCTTATATATATATACATACATACATATATATATATATGTATATATATACATACATACATACATACATACATACATATATATATATATATATACATACATACATATATATATATATATATGTGTGTATATATATATATATATATATATAAATTTCTCTCTCTAAGATTTCTCTCCCTTCTTATGCCGGCCACCACCTCCGGCGGAGCTGCCGGCAGGGCTACTCTGTCCTGCTCCTCCTTCATCACACCTACCCCAGCCAACACTTCCCCTCCCACACATACTCAACCCCCCAAAACCTTCCTCCAAGCACTGAACAACTGCCATCAAGAACATGTGTTTTTGCCCACTGAAAACCCACCTGAGAAATACAAAGGTCTACCCTGCGTAGCTTTCATCAATGAAGAAGTCCAGGCCCTTGCCAAAAGGTTCTCTAGAGCACTTGTAGGTACCTTCTTCTATGGACGGCCTAGTCTGCAATTCATACGCCAATGTCTGGAAAAAATTGGCTTCAATGAATTCTCTGTGGTTCTCATGGATAGCACACACATCCTCATCAACTTCTCCAATGATAATGATTTCCACCGCTGCTTCAAGAGGCAAGATTGGAAACTTGGGAGCTACCATATGCGCATTTCCAAATGGACTCCAGACTTTGATCCCAGGTATGAGTCACCCATTCTTCCTATCTGGATTTCCATAAAAGATCTTCCCATCCACCTGCACTCCAAGTCCTCACTTATGAGGATAGGAAACCTGTTTGGAAAAGCCCTCAAAATAGATGCCACGACTGAAAACTACGGGCGACCATCAACTGCTAGAGTCTGCGTAGAGGTTGATATCTCCAAACCCCCAACCACCAAATTTTATGTTAAAAATGGCTCTAATCCCCTCCTCCTCACAGCTGTATATGACGAACTCCCAGAATACTGCAGGGAATGCAGGGGGGTCGGGAGGCACAACACCCACTGCAAATTTTCCAAGCCCCATACAGAAACCTTGAAAACCCAAGGATTACCTGAATCCCAGTCAAATCCAGTAAGCCACAGCCACCCTGATGGCCGGAAAATTCCCAAAGATACATCCATACAGCAAAAAAACAAACCCACTGCAGGCTCCAGTCACTCAGACTTACAAACACTCCAAGCCAAAAAGCCACCTCAACCCAAAAAACTTTCAGAAGGCCCCCACAAGCCCACTGCAGGCTCTAATAATTTTCCCCTTTTAACACATGACAGCCAACCCCCAAATGAGAACACCTCTAAAAACAACCCCTCTACCTCCACAGAAAAGCCCACCACTAACATTCCCTCCCCTAAGCCCAACCCCACAACTCCTCCTAGCCTTCCCTCCCAAAAGCCCAATCTTACTCCCACCTCATCTTCAACAAGCCTCCCTAACCCAAGCCCTTCACCCGAACCCATTTCAGGCCCAATACCTCCCAACACAAGCCCATCTCCTCCCTCAACCTTCCACCCCATCCCCCAACCACCCCCTACCTCCACACCACAGAGAACTTCCTCCCCTCCAAACTCAGTAGATTTTTTTGGAAGAAGCTGACTGGGATATACTTATTCATAATGATATTCTTGCAAAATGCCTCCTGAGTTGGGAAGAAAACCAACCATTTAAACCAACACCAAAGCAACCCATTCCTCTCCACCTTTTTTCCTGTGATGACCTACACTTAGAAACAGAAAACCTGGCCCTCACTCCCATTTACCTTTCAGACCCAGAACCCCAGAAAAGCAGCTCCCAAATTAACCACCCTATTACACAGCATCCTTCCTCAACTGCAGTACCCTCAGTATCTACCCCCTTGACAGAACCATCCCACTCAACTGCAGAACCCTCATCCCAAATGCACCAGCTAGTCACTGCAACCAAAGGAGCAAACATTAGTGCAGAAGATGAAAATAACAACCAACCATTCACAACAGTGAAAAGAAAATCAAAGAGAATTCAGGAGAAGATCTCCTCACACAGTCAACACCAAATTTCATCCCAATGAATCTACTCTTTTGGAATATTTGTGGGCTACCCTCAAAACTACAGAGGCTGGCCATCCTGATTTCCACTCACAAAATTTCTTTCCTAGCCATAATGGAACCTAAAACCTCTGCCAAAAAGCTCACTCACTTCCAATTGGCCTTGGGTTTCAGCAACTCCCTGTCGACTATGGACAACAGAACCTGGGTAATGTGGAATAATGACAACCTAACCTACCATCACCATCAAGAGATGGACCAGGCTATCAATATTCACTACACTTCTAAAAAAAATCCTATCATCATTACTACTGTCTATGGGAAATACTGTGACACAGACAGAAACAGACTTTGGGAGCATATCACTACTACAGGCCTTAACATGCAAAAACCTTGGGTAATTGGTGGGGACTTCAACTGCATCTCATCAGTGGACCACCATTAAGGCAAGAGCACACCATGCCTTAGGAGTATCCAGGACTTTGACAAATGCATCATGGAAGCTTCCCTAATCTCTCCCAACTTCACTGGATCCTCATACACTTGGACAGGTGTAAGGTCACTTGGAAGATTTTGGAGAAGGATAGACAGAGCATTCCACAACAACACTATCCTAAACTCTTACCAAGACATCATCTGCAACCACTTACCAAGAAGTACCTCTGACCATAACCCTCTCCTAATAAAGCTCAGCAACTCCCCTTTTAATGGACCAAAACCCTTCAGATATATCAATTGTTGGAGCTCCCATAACACTTTTTTGTCCACTGTCTGCAACAACTGGGGACCTTACACTGGAGGAGGCATGAGAGGGCTTGGTTACAAACTCAGGAAGCTTGGGAAAACCCTTCATACCTGGAATAAGAGCATTTTTGGTAACATCTTCAACATGGTAAACTCACTGGAAGGGGAACTGAAAGATATTGAAGCACAGTTTGATACTCACCCCACCCCAGAGTTGAGGACTATTATGCAGGAAACTAAGGCTAAACTTATACAAGCTACCCAACAAGATTATTCCTACTGGAAGCAGAAGGCAAATATCAAATGGACCAAGGAAGGGGATGCCAATACCTCTTTTTTCCATGCCACTGTCAAACAAAGAAGAAGCCAACAAAAGATCACCAGTCTCAAATCAAAGGAAGGAAAATGGCTTCACAACCAAGAAGAAATACATGAAGAAATCCTCAATCATTATAGAACACTTTTCATGTATAAGGAAAGCCATAATGACAGATTCACTGCCAATATTCCCAACCTAATCACTGATTTGGACAACACCAACCTCACCTCTCTCCCTGATGAAGCAGAAGTCAAAAAAGCTGTTTGGGCCCTCTCAGCAGATAGTGCTGCAGGGCCTGATGGTTTCAATGGTCAATTCTACAAAACTTGTTGGGAACTCATTAAAGTCGACTGCACCAAAGCTGTTCAGGAATTCTTTCTAGGAATCTCTATTCCTAGAAACTGTGCCCAATCTACCCTCATCCTTGTTCCTAAGAAAGAAAACTCTCAAACTTGTGAAGACTTCAGACCAATCTGTCTGTCTAACTTCTGCTGCAAACTTTTCTCCAAAATTCTAGCCCAAAGAATTGGCGCAATTCTTCCTAATTTGATATCTCAAGAGCAAGGGGGTTTTGTCAAAGGAAGGGTGATACATGACCAAGTTCTCCTAGCCCAAGAACTTTTCCATGGCCTGGACTATAAAACTAGAGGGGGAAACTTGGCCATTAAACTGGACATGTCCAAGGCATTTGACAGAATATCTTGGAAATTTCTCCTCACTGTCTTGGACAAGTTTGGCTTCAACAGACACTTCACAACCCTGGTCCAAAACCTCCTCCAAAGTTCCTTCTTCACCATTTTGATCAATGGACACCACACTAAAGGGTTTATACCTCAAAGGGGATTGAAACAAGGAGATCCTCTTTCTCCTCTTCTTTTCATCTTAGTTTCAGAGGCCTTCAGCAGGACCATCAAGATGGAAACAGAAAATGGCTCTCTCTCCCCCTACTACCTTGGCAGACACTACATCCCTATTACCCACCTTGCATTTGCTGATGACCTAATCCTCTTCACCAAAGGGGACTCTCACAATATCTCCAACATCAAGCAGCTTCTTTCAGACTATGAAGACTGCTCAGGACAGCAAATCAATCGTGGTAAATGTTCTTTTTACACTCCTAAAAAGACCCCCTAGCTACCCAAAGGAAAATACAACACTCTCTGGGCATGAACAAGGGCAGCCTGCCCTTCAAATACTTGGGAATCCAAATTCATCAAGGAATCAATAGAAAGAGCTACTGCCATGACCTCCTAAACCTCTTTGACATCAAACTTAAAGGATGGTACCATAAACTCCTAAGCCAAAGTGGCAGACTTACCCTAATCAAGCATGTCCTAAACACCTTGCCACTCCATATGCTGGGATGCAGCAAACTTCCAAAGAGCATCATCAACTGCCTCCACTCAAAAATGAATAACTTCCTATGGGGCCAAGACAAATACCATTGGTCCTCCTGGGAGAAACTCTGCTACCCTCAGGATGAGGGGGGTCTGGGTATTACCAATCTTAACACTCTTCAGCAAGCTTATGGGTTCAAGATGTGGTGGACCTACAATCAAAATAACTCTTTGTGGGCTAAGTTCATGAGGGCCAGATATCCTAGAGGCCTCAACATAGCCCCCAAAATCACTGATTCTGTTTACTGGAAAAGACTCATTGAGGTTGACAACTTGGCAGATAATCACCTCAGTTTAGACAACCAGGGCAGAGGTATTTGGATGAATGGAGATGTTGGTTTCAGCATGAAGAAGGCAAAGAATTCTTTGAGAGAGAAAAACCATACCCACCCTTTCACTAAACTATCCTGGAACTCCAAACAGAGCCCTAAACACTCAATATTCCTCTGGAAATTATGCTTTGGCTACCTCCCCCTCCCCCATTTACTAACTAGAATGGGATTCCATCTCCCTTCTATTTGTGTTTTATGCAGGAACAGCGAGGAAACAACCAATCACCTTTTCAAGAATTGTCCATTTAGCAAACAAATCTGGACCTATTTTGAAGAGGCTTTCTCAGTTTGCAGGAACACAAGCCATGGAATTCTAACCTACTTAACAAACTGGTGGAAACAAGGAAACTTGCAAAGGCATCACAAGACAGTCTTCAATATTATCCCAGGCATTATAATACATGAGATATGGAAAGAAAGGAACAGAAGAACTCAAGAGGAGGAAGAACACAACACTTCACAGATTATCACAATCATCACAAAACAGATCTTTGAATGGATTGTAATCCATCACAAAGGAAAAATTGATAAGGAAATCAGAATTTCTGAAAGGTTACCTCCAATAAGGATGGGAGCAATCTCAGTTCATCACTGGCAATTTCCTTCCAATGGTGTAACGCTGACGACAGATGCAGCAATCAGTGAAGAAAGATCATCAGGAGCAAGCATACTGCGAACAAGCCTCGGCCAATTCCTCTGCGCTTGGACGTTCCCCCTCCGGCCAAACCTCACATCGAAAGAGACAAATGGAAGCTGCATACGAAGGAGTGAGAAGAAGCATTTTCCTCAATTGTCCAGTCAACCTTTTCATTGACTCCAAGGCATGTGCAAACAAACTTAATCTTCCCACAAATAATGACTTTTTCACAAAATTGACAAGAGATATGATAAACCGATCTGGAGGACGGGTCAATCACATCTACAGAGAAGCAAACTCGGTGGCTCATCACTTGGCACAGCACGCAATACAAGAAAATACCTTCAGTTATTTCCCGAATATTTTATCTCTCCCAAAAAATTCAAGGGGAGCCATAAAGTGTGATGTAACAACTTCTTTTATCCGCTTTAAATAAAAAAAATTCTTTTCCTTATATATATATATGTGTGTGTGTGTGTGTGTGTGTGTGTGTGTGTATGTATATATATATATGTGTGTGTGTGTGTGTGTATATATATACACACACACACACACAATTGATATTGTTTAAGAAAATTATTTTGTGAATTCTTTTGTCGTGCCATCAGCCATGGTACCACGCAGCTTCATTGCTAAGCGTGTACACTTTTTCATCTTTCTACACGTAGGTATAAGAGAGAATAAATGTGGAGCCTATTCTGGAAAATACTTAGATGGAGGTGATGCGTGGACATGCACAAATATAATATTTAAGTAAATGATTTTATCACATGGGTGGACCATACTCTTGTAGTTTGCAAAACGCTTCCGCACTATTTTAAATAATTTTACTCCGACGTAATCATGAAATACTTTGCGCAATTATTTGAAATAAAATGTTTGAAATTTTTACGTTACCAATTTAATACTTTAATCCGAAAGGGGCTGCAGACCTGAACGACTAAAGGTGTTGCAACTATTACATGCCCAAATAAGAGAATGATGACCTTGGTTGAATGTGAAAATCAACTAGAAACTTTGCGGAAAGAACAAGCACATGAAGATGTTAAATCTCTAAGCCAAGATAAAGGTGAACTCGTGGTCATTAAAAGACCATTGAGTAGTTTGGGTGGTCAAAACAGCGATGTAGGAGTATTGGACATCGCTGTTGGCATGACCGTTGCTTCCTAATTTTCAAAACCCAAGCCTAGAACAGCGATGTCCAAGCCTAGGACAGCGATGTCTGGGTGAATTTCAGCAGATCCAAATTTAATCAAATCCCACAAATTGTGCCAATCACCCCTTAAATATTTTGGTCCGTTGGAGCCTATTTTTCTACTATAAAATGGGGTCTTTGGATCTGTTTTACACATCACATTACTTCACAACTCATACTCTTTCATTGCAAATCATTCATCCTTTATTCATAGCTTTTTGAGAGCCATTTTTTGTGAAGCTTGTGTTGTGTTCTTGAGCGTTCTTAGTTACTCATTATCCACTCTAAAAGAGAGTATTGTTCTTGAGTGTTTTTAGTGTTCTTAGACACTTGACAAGAGAAAATATTTCTCTTGTTGTTCGAAGGAAGGGTTGTTTCCTTTGAAGGTTCGTTGAGGTTCGTGTGACTCGAACTCTCAAGTTGTACGGGTTTGTTATGCACCGTTAAGCTTAACGAGATAGTAGTGTAGCTCGAGAGAGTCTCTCGGGAGGCTGGATTAGCCACAAGTTGTGGTGAACCAGGGTAAATTTGGTGTGCCTCTTACTCTTCTCTTTACTTCTCATTTATTCATTTTTTATTCCTGCGATTTCTCGATCAAACGCTATTCACCCCCCCCCCTAGCGTTGGTCTATTATTCTAACAATTGGTATCAGAGCCTAACTCGCGTCCAAACTTAACTGTTTGAGAGTAAAGCGATCATAGGTTCTTCTTCCAGAAATCTCTATGCAGGAATTGGAGAAGGTCAATCAACTTCTAGGCCACCGTTCTTTGATGGCACTGCACCAACTACTCTTATTGGAAGGAACGGATGAGAATCTACATCCATTCCACCAACTTCCAACTATGGTTGGTCATCAAAAACGGAGAGGAAATCCAAATGAAGAAAGTGGGAGAAACCAAGGTCCCAAAGACCGAGGACGAGTTTGATGTCGAAGACATCAAGAAGGTTGAAAACTACCGGAAGATCTCCTGTTTTATTGTGCAGTCAACCCTGATGACTACCGGAAGATCTCCTGTTGCACAACCGCCAAGGAAATGTGGGACAAGCTTGAAGTGACGTACGAAGGTACCGATCAAGTTCGTGAAGCCAAGATCGACTTTCTCACTCAAGAATACGAAATGTTCTGAATGAAAGAAGGTGAGAAAATCGATGACATGTTCGACCGTTTCTCAAAAATCATCAACGATCTTCACGCCTTGAAGAAAAGCTACTCCAACAAGGATCTAATGAGGAAGATCCTTCGAAGCTTAACTCCCGAATGGCGCTCCAAGGCCGATGCCATTTACGAGTCAATTGGAGTTTCCAACGTCACAATTGATGGATTAAGAGGTAATCTCAAAACTTACGAATCTACCATTCTTAATCCATCATTGGACAAACAGAAGAAAAAGGGGATAGCTCTCAAAGCCACCAAGGAACCGGTGGAAGAAGTTTCTAGCGATGATGACAACGAATTTGGACTCGTCATCAAGAAGTTTCACAAGTTCATGAAGAAGGAATTTGAGCGGAAGGTAAGGAAGCATGACGGTCCTCCCAAGTGCTACGACTGTGGCGAGATTGGCCACATCAAGCCAAGGTGTCCAAAAGCCAAGCACGGCAAGGACAAGCCCGGATTCAAGAAGCAAAGGGCTTACATCTCTTGGGGTGGCGATTCCGGCAATGAATCAACTGGCCAAGAGGAGGACGAAGCTGTAAATCTTTGCCTCATGGCGCATGAAGATCAAAACGACGACGTCCAAGAGGTATGTACCATTTCTTCCGACTCTTATACTTTTGAAGAGATGCGAGAAGCACTTCATGAACTTTATGAAGAATTTGTTAGCGCTTCTAAAACGAATAAATCCTTGAAGAAACGTCTTTCTACACTTGAAAACGACTTTGAAAAATTGCAAAAAGAAAATGAAAAACTAAAACAAGAAAACAAATTTTTTGGAAAAAGAAGCGCTGACAAACCAGAAAGTTCCTCAAGTGAATGTGAGTCTTGCAAAGCTTTAAAAGAACAAGTCACTAAACTTGAGAGCACGGTCAAGAAATTTAATACTCCTCACAAAGACTTAAATTTACTTCTTGACACTATGCATTTTTCTAAGGAAGGAATAGGTTTCAATAAAAATAAAGCCAAAGAAAATGTTGAGCCACCACCTAGACAATCATCTAAGGTTCAACATAATAAACCTAAAAATCAAGATAATAGAAAACCTAGTCAGCCTAAGGACACTAGACAACCTAGACTAAAACCTAGGAATGAAAATGGTCATGGTAGACAACCTAAGAAAAATGATTTTGTGCATAAAAACGAATTTTCTCAAATTAGAAGAAATAATGCTAGAGCACCTAGAAAAGGCCAATTTCAAAATTTTCAAAGACCATCGTTTTCACAAAATAGGAACAAAATGGTTAAACCCCCTAACTATTATGAACCTAGGCACATGTACAACCCCAACGTAGTTTGCCATTACTGTAATAGGATAGGCCATATTGCTCCCATTTGTTACACTAGGCATAGGCACCTATCACAAAATCAAGCACACTACCATCACACACCTAACACACGAGGACCCAACGTAAATTGGGTACCTAAAACTCATTGATTTGTTTCATAGGTGTGCTTGAAAGCATCAAGTGTACTTTGGTACCTTGATAGCGGATGCTCCAAGCACATGACCGGGGATGCATCCAAGTTTCTCCAAATCAAACCTGCTAAAGGAAGAAACGTAATTTTTGGAGATAATAGCAAGGGAAAGATTATCGGCATTGGTTCGGTAGGTAAATCTGAAAACTCCTCTATAGATAATGTCTTGCTTGTTAAAGGTCTTAAACACAATCTCTTGAGCATAAGTCAATTATGTGACAAGGGAAATCGTGTAACCTTCGACTCAAAATCATGCACAGTAGAACGCCTTAGTGACAATAAGGTTATTCTACGTGGTGATAGAATTGATAACATATATATGGTTAACCTAGACAAATCTCCTTCCGGCTTTGCTAAGTGCCTCATGAGTAAAGAGGAAGACACTTGGTTATGGCACCGTAGGCTAGCTCATATGAACATGAACCTTTTGAACAAATTGGTTTCACAAGACTTAGTAATTGGCATTCCAACACTTAAGTTTGAAAAAGACACCATATGTGATGCGTGGCAAAAGGGGAAGCAAGTTTGGGCTTCGTTTAAGTCTAAGAACGTTGTTTCAACGCCTAGACTGCTTCAACTTTTGCACATGGATCTCTTTGGTCCTTCTAGAACGAAAAGTTTTGGTGGTAATTACTTTGCGTTTGTGATTGTCGATGACTACTCTAGGCTTACATGGCCCTTGTTCTTAACTCACAAAAGTGAGGCATTTCACGTTTTCAAAAATTTTCTAAAGAAAATTCAAAATGAAAAAGAAACAACCATAGTAGCCATTAGAAGCGATCATGGGAGAGAGTTCGAATGAAATCTATTCTCAGATTTATGTGACGAACTCGGCATTGATCATAATTTCTCAGCCCCACGGACACCACAACAAAATGGAGTGGTGGAACGTAAAAATAGATGTCTCAAAGAGATGGCTAGAACTATGATCAATAAGGAAAAAATCCCTAAGTATTTTTGGGCGAATGCCGTGAGTACCGCGAGCTACGTGTTAAATCGAGCCGTCATTCGACCGATACTCATGAAAACGCCCTATGAATTATACAAAGGGAGAAAGCCAAACCTTTCTCATCTTCGAGTCTTTGGTTGCAAATGTTTTCTCACTTCGTAGCAAGGCATATAGAGTTTTTAATAAACGTACTTTGACTATTGAGGAGTCCCCTCATGTTGTGTTTTCCGAAGATAATACTCGCTTGGCGAGAAAGGCTATTTGTGATGATCTTGCAGACTCTCTCGAAAGATTACACGTTGAAGACGATGAAGAAGACACGCCATTATACACCAACCCGCAACCGCAACCTGAGGAAACACCTCAAGTGATGGTCGAAAATGAAGACCAAGCAGACGAAGAAGAACAAGAGGAAGCCCAGGAACAAAAGGAAACCGAGCTTCCCATCGCATAGAGAACGCACAAGAACCATCCACTTGACTAGGTAATAGGCAGCATCGACCGCGGGGTAAGCACTCGTAACTCTCTTAGGGACTCTGTAGGACACATGGCTTTTGTTTCTCAAATTGAACCTACAACCATTTCCGAAGCAATGAACGATGAACATTGGACCTTGGCTATGCAAGAGGAGCTAAACCAATTCAAACGGAATGACGTTTGGGAATTGGTGCCAAGACCCGATGATCGTACGATTATTGGTACAAAATGGGTGTTCCGTAATAAACTTGATGAAAATGGAATAATCACTAGAAACAAAGCTAGGCTCGTAGCTAAAAGCTACAATCAAGAAGAAGGCATTGATTTTGAAGAAACTTATGCACCCGTAGCACGTTTAGAAGCTATTCGTTTACTTCTTGCTTTTGCCTCGTCTATGGATTTTAAACTTTATCAAATAGATGTTAAGAGTGCCTTCCTCAATGGTTTTATTCAAGAGAAAGTGTATGTTGACCAGCCCCCGGGGTTTGAAGACTTTGAGTTTCCCGATCATGTCTTCAAACTCAAGAAAGCGCTCTACGGTCTTAAACAAGCACCTCGTGCTTGGTACGAACGTTTGAGTAAATTTCTCTTGGATAGTGGTTTCCAAAGGGGAAAGGTTGACACCATACTTTTTATCAAGAGTAAAAACAATAACATCCTTTTGGTTCAAGTTTATGTAGACAATATTATATTCGGTGCTACTAACGAGTCTTTGTGCAAGGAATTCTATACGCTAATGACAAGCGAATTTGAAATGTCAATGATGGGTGAGCTCACGTTCTTTTTTGGACTCCAAGTCAAGCAAATGAAAGATGGTACGTTCATTTGCCAAGCTAAATATTGCAAGGAGCTCTTAAAACGGTTTGAAATGGACAACGCCAAAGCCATGGCAACCCCGATGAGCACGTCTGACCATCTTGACAAAGACGAGAAAGGTAAGGAAGTAGAAGTCAAAAAGTATCGAGGTATGATCGGATCCCTTCTCTATCTTACCGCTAGTAGGCCGGATATCATGTTTAGCGTATGCCTTTGCGCAAGGTATCAATCGTGTCCGAAGGAATCGCACTTAACCGCGGTGAAACGGATCATGAAATACCTTGTTGGCACGGTTAACGTTGGACTGTGGTATCCAAAAGGCTCTTCTTGTCATCTCGTTGGCTATTCCGACTTAGACTTTGCAAGTTGCAAATTGGACCGTAAAAGTACAAGTGGGACTTGCCACTTACTTGGTAGCTCTCTAGTCTTATGGTTTAGTAAGAAACAAGTCAGTGTTGCGTTATCCACAACCGAAGCGGAATATGTAGCCGCCGGTAGTTGTTATGCTCAAATCCTCTGAATGAAGCAACAACTCGTGGACTATGGCCTTAGTATCAATCACGTCCCTCTTCGTTGTGATTATACTAGCGCCATAAGCTTGACGAAGAACCCCGTTCTTCATTCAAGAACGAAACACATTGACATTAAGCATCATTTCATTAGAGATCATGTTCTCAAAGGTGATATCGAAATTGAGTTTGTTGAAACACACAACCAATTAGCCGACATTTTCACAAAACCTTTAGAGAAAGAGTCACTCTTCCGCATTCGAAGTTAACTCGGAATAATGCCATTTCTAATTAAGTAATACAGCAAATTCCAGTAGAGATGTTGAAGAATTGCCAAACCCTACCTCAAAGTTGTAGTCTCTACATCTCGACTTCCATTTGGCTTATTCGAGGCATAACTATACCGCACATACTATTCGTAGACGTCTTTTACAGATTCTAGGTGCAATTTTTGGATCAAGATGCATAGGCATTGCCACATCTAGATAGAAAATAAATGTAAAATATAGAAGAGATCTAGATCAGAAGGCTTACTGCAAACTCCGGTGAAAGATGAGAGCAAGGGCACAAGGCCGGGTGAACTCGCTTCACCATCTTCGATTGAAGCAGCAGCACTTCTCTTCACCGGTTTATTTATTGAAGACTGAAACTTTCTCGATATGCATAGGCCTGGGAAAAGAGCAGTAGCATAGATTATTGCTCAATGGTTTCTTGTTTAGTAACAAAAGAAAAATGTCTAAATTCATGATGATTTCACAATGGCTATGTAGTTTCTTATGACTTAGGTTGCAATTCTTTGAATGGTACAATTCTGATTTCAAGCGGCACTTCCCTCTTCAGATATGCATCTCCGCTCGTCACCTAAAACAGAACCCCCAAAAAGAAAACTCCCATAAATAAATTTGAAATAGAATAATATTAAAAATTACAGAGTATTTCCTTAAGGCGAGTTTGGATGCAGAAATAAACCTGAGAAAAAGTTCATAATAGAAAAGATTATGCATTTTGATATATCTCTTGTGCAATTGAATCCGCTTAAAAAAAAGATGATTTACAAAAAATATTCCATCACAGAAACTCACATAGTTGAGCTCTTGACTTCTTGATCTCTTTCATCGCATACCTCTTCCGAGTTCTAATGGAAGGAGCATTGGAGCAGCTATTTTGATATATCTATTGCACAAATTCATGCATTGAATCTGCAATTTGCGGGCAAAGCCCCTCCGTGCCGCCAGAGTCTAGCCAGCGTAGGGTAGAAGGTTAGATGGCGTTGTCGTCTCGCACCTTGTTCTGTTCGAATCCCTGATGTCCATGACAGAGGAAGTGCCAAAACCCTAGTCGCTCCTTCTCCTGTTCATACAATCGAAGATAAGGCGTAGCTCCCGATAAGAAAAAGGTATAGAGCACATGAGATCGAAGCTGGCGTATAGGGAAGGGATTACCTTTTTGAGGAGAAGCTTACGCAATATGCTGGCGAAGAAGATTACAGAACACGTCGACTCCGCATATAGTTCACTACTAATAGGCTAACAGGGACAGCTGCACTAACAGGCTTCATAGCCCACTTTAAATAAAGGCAGCCCATTAAATAGTGACCGGGCCCAATGTTTTGGGCGGGAACACTGTTCATTTTATCATCTTACCATTGTATATAGTTAGATTACAGCTTACTATTTACATATATTATCTTAAGCATAATTCATTGTTAATACTTTATTTGTTAGAATACATCATTCTTGCTTTATGTAAGATGTGGAAAAATTTGAAAATGCATCTTTTCGGATGTATTATATGTTTATTAAATTTACATTTCTCGTGCAAAGCACTAGTGATATACTAGTTAAACAAAAACATTATATTGTACTCCGTAGATTAGTAGAAAAGAGAATTTGGATATCAAAACATGAGATAAAATCAATAAATAAATACCAATAAATGCAAAGGAATAAGTTTGGGTTTAACTACTATGAAGGTAAAATAAACAGGAAAATTTAGGTTTTTATTCTTAAAAATTAATTAGTGTTTAATAGATAGTAGTGATAAAGATGTAGCACTGTCAGATTACGAAGTCGGTGGCTAGGATTCGAAACCCTAGCCCTCATGTCAATAATGGCTCCTGTTCGGGCTTCGTCACTCGGATGTAACTTAGCTTTTCAAATCTTATTAAGATGTAGTACATCAAGAAGACACAAATTATACCCACGATACACCAAGAAGACACAAATCCAAAAAAATGGACACAAAGAAAGCATATCCATTAAGTAATGTCATATTTCAAGTTTAAAACTTAAGTTCCTAAACAAAACTGCAAATCTAAGGCTCAGTAATAGTTACCATTTATGTTCCAGCTTCCATCAAAAGCTTCACTAAAAAAAATGCACAAACTATATAAAACATTACTCCACAAAGAATGATATTTTTTATCCCTAGACAGTAAAATAGCTTTACAAAGAGGTAAAGGCTTTAAACCCATCTTCAAAGAGGTACGTGTTTATAAAGAAAAAAAATTGTGGTTACCCTTAAAATGATTTCAGTATATGTCTCTCAAACTACACCCCGAGCTATGGAACCAAATGTACTGGATAAATTAAATTTAGTTCATCACCGTGAAATTATTTTTAGAACTCAAAGAGAGATTCAACCAATATTTTTAAAATTTGTATATAGTGTTCCCTTTTCAAAAGAAGGAATTAATTCTTTGAAACAAGAAAATTTGATTTGAATATATATATATATATATATATATATATATCTTAATACCATCCAGGGTTGCAATTGTTTCGAGAACTTAAGAAACTACTCGCTTTGATACTGAATTTGGGTATTTTCCTAAATCAAGCTTGAAACCTTGTCTAAAAAAACCCTTAAAATCAAGAATTGGAGACTTCAATCCTTGTTAGTTAAACCAACAGCAAAGGGACACCTTTTCAAATCCCAAATAGAAAGTCCTCATATGAAATTAATAACTTTATTAAGCAAATTCAAAATCTAGGTCACTGGATTTTGGGGAATAATCAAGCGAAATTCCGAAACCTAAGAGTCCTTTCTTGGAGATTTAAATAAGAAGAATGGATACTAGGATAAATCAGTCGTACCTTATTCCCGGAGTCAGCATCTTCGTCACTCTCCTTCCTCGCTGCAACGAAGTCGCCGTCCCGTTTCCTGAAATAGACGAACGACGAGGCCGGCAAAGACGAGTGAACAGACGTGCGAGGAGGTTGATGGCCTGGAACGGATCTCTCTCCTCTCCTCTCTGATTGTGAACGCACGACAGACAGAGAACGGAGAAGCCAAGTACTTCGTATATTCTAGAGCCTTTTAGTGTAGACTGTAGAGATGTGGCAAGACAAATAATAATTGGGACACATACTTGTTGGACTAAACTCATATTCATTTTTTTTGTAACTTAAGCCTTCATTTTGAATCAATTTCGCATTATTCTCCTAAAAAAATGTTTGTAATGCCCTATATTGGCTCCTAAAAATAAAAAATAAAAAAGTGAAACTTTTTTGCTAGAGTAATGTCCGAGTATCATATAAAATATCATTAAAGATTGACGTTTTGATAAGATTATCTAACGATATTGTTTAACATTAACATTTTCAAAGTTAGATTATATCAATTAAATTTTATTCAAAACACTAACGATAATCGAATATGATGTTCTCAAACAAAGTTGAAGTACTTTCTCCTCAAAAAACTTATAGAGTATTTCTCATATAACCAACTTTTATCTATTTTCTTTAACGATTATTGTTACTCATTTGATAAAATAATATAATTTTATCATCTCTTATTTTATAAACTTTTTTATGCAATTCTTAAATACTCATATAGAAATTTACTTTTTAATTTCACACTAATTATGAAATAAATTTTAAAATAATTATAAATTCAGCCAAACATTCTAAAAAAGTTTCATTGAGAAGAAGTACGGAGTATCATTTTTGGAACTTGACGCACATTGTGCGTCCAAGGCTATTTAGCCTAAATTGGGTGGACGAGTTTCCTCACATTCCATATTTGACTTCACACAATTAATGCAATCCTTTTTAGTTCTTACATCTGAATTTAATTCTTTCATTTGTAAAATTTTTAACTTTGACCAGGGTATGTAAAAAAACATTGTGTGTTCTTATAAATGTAATATCAATATTTCTTTTTAAACAAAGTTTTGAAATATTAAAACTTTAAAAGAATACTCCCTCCACATCCCTGAATATTTTTTCACTTTTAACTTTTTCAGTCAAAATTGGTAAACTTTGACATCAAATTAAAAAAGTGATATTAAATATTGATACAAAAACGGTTTTATTAGATTTATTACATCAAATAAATATTTTCAAAATATTATTTTATCTAACTAATATACATTATATATTTTATTTAATTGTATGTCACAGGTTAAAAATAGTTGACTAAAAAAATCAAAACTGGACAAATACTTAGGGACGGATGTAGTATAACTATATTTAAATATCAGTAGTAAAATTGATACATTGAAAACATGAGCATAATCAATGAAAGACAATAACCACACACGAAAGGGTAAAAAATGTCATTGACTAGCCTATTTTAGCTTTTAAAATAAATTGATATAAATAAAAGAGAGTCAAAATGATTTAAAAGATAGGAAAAGTAGATGAAATTAATTAAAAAAATAAAAGTCATTGAAATCTAAATCTTAATTTATACACAGGTGTGAGGTACTTTTGAACAGTGTTCCCGTCAAGAATATCACTATACCAAAAACGGTATCAGACGACTGTTGATTAACTACTGTGTATGTAAACACAGTAGTTAAAAAATAGATTACTGTGAGTTTTTTCTTGGCTACAAAATAGTAGTCTAGCTATGATGCTTTAAAAATGTTTTTAAAGTTTCGAGAAACGGTAATCTATCACTAGTTGTCTCTGTCAGTTCAAAATACAATTTTTGTTACAACAGTGGTCAATAACAAGTTAAAAATACTCTATTTTAACAGTAGTCTGGTTTTTAGTTTAGAACTGTTTTTAAACTTATTAGAAACAGTTATCTATCGCTAGTTGTCTGTTTCATATGATTTTTTGCCACTGTTGTTTATAATGGGAATAGAAGACTCTTCGATAACATTAGTCTATAAATTAAGGGTAGAATTGTATTTAAACTTGTGAGAAATGGTAATAGTTTATTAGTAGTCCGTTTCATCTAAAAATATAGTTTTTGTTGCCACAGTTATCAATTATTAGTTAAGATTACTATTTCTAATCAGTAATCTAGTTTTTCAGTTTATAGCTGTTTTTAAACTTATAAGAAATAGTATTCTATTGTAAGTTGTATGTTTCATATGGTTTTGTTTTGCATAGTTGTATATTATAAGAATAGAAGACTCCCTTGTAACAGTAGTATATTTATATAGTGTAGAACTATTTTTAAAATTCATAAAAACTGCATGTAATCTATTACAGGTTGTCTATAATAAATTAAGAATACCCTTTTTAAACAGTAGTTAGACTATTAAGCCTAGAACTATTTTCAAAGTTTTGAGAAACTGTAATGTATTACTAGTAGTGTGTGTCACACTATTTTTTTTATGGTTATCTATAATAAGTAATGGAACGAAAGAAATTATTATTTTTTCAGACAATATATGTAGAAGAATCAAATAAACATTGTTTCAAACAATTATATGTACATTAAAAAATAAACACTTCCATTGAAACAAAAGAAAAAGTACATTGAACTGTCCTGCTACTCACAAAGGGAATTGAAAACTCATACAATCAATCAATCTCACATCATAAAACCCAAAAACAATAAAAAGACGGTGAGATGCAAATAAGAGTACACAAAATTTATTAAAAACAAAATTAAGAGTACATTGGCTTACTTCAATCCAAAGTAGAAAATAAACAAAACACAAAGAATGAAACTCCATATTCTAACATTACTCAAATTAAAGAATATAGACCAAATCTTCAACGTAGGAGTGCAAATTACACAAAGATTAGTTTTTAGCCAGGGTTTTACTCTCCCCAATGACTTAAGCTTGACCCTTTAGCTTCGTGGAAGAGGGAACAACATCATCACCCTTCTTAGTCTTTTGCTTCATCTGTTATCTTATTTCCCTCTTGATTTTTTACATTTAATATTGAATGAATATATAAAAAACACAACTATGGTTTCAAAGATGAAGAGGATTCATTTGACCAGATGAAAAATGTGATACTGAATGCAGATGTCCCTAATTAGATTTTATCAATTCTTGTGACATTATATGAAACTTATGGAATAGAAATATTTGAAATTGTTTCTTGATACTCCAACTAGACGTAAAAGGCAGAATTGTTTTGTCCAAATTTTTTTTAGAGCTTTCATTTTTCCATTTGCACCCTTTTATGTATTCTAATGATCATGTTAGAATGCTCCAAACCTATATATTAAAAGTGCCCCTAGTAATATATTTTGGAGAGCTATCAATTGGCGAGGCAGATCTTTTTCTTTGTATGGGCACACGAACACTTCTTGGCAATGCAGGGCTTGTCCCCTGTAAACAACCACAAAAAAACATGTGAATAAAACATGACTGGAAAGCAATAAATTAAGAAACAACAACACCCAAGATACTGCCATAAGGCTCCGTTTGGTACACAGAATTCAAACTATGGAATTGGACTTGAGGACTTTAATTCCAATTTTGGTGTTTGGTAGCACAAAAATTATGTGGATTTGGAATTGATAGTGCAAAAAATGAATTGGAATTGGCAAAATTCAATTCTATGGAATTGAATCCCATGGAATTTCAATTCCAATTCAATTCCAATTCCGTCAATTCCGTATACCAAACGGACCCTAAGTGTCATAAAAAATATCATTATTTATGTGTTATCTTATACGGAGTATAATATATGGTTTATAGTCTTTCTTCTCTAGCCTATACAACATCCAGCCCATGCCAAAACCAAGAATCATCTTCCAAAAATAGAAAGTAGTATCATGTAACATCAAACCATGCCCTATGAGAACTAAAATTATGCTTCACAGTTCACACGGGATTTAGATGCATCACCAATCTGAAACACAATCTCAAGACTTTGAAGCTTATTCATTGATCCTCACACTGACGGGAATACAATCTCAAGACTTGGAAGCTTATCCATTCAGCGAGACGGCGTTCATTGCCTCACCATACACAGCAATGTGCTCCTTGTGCCTCAGATTCAGCATCTCAAGCGCCTTCTTAATCACATCAGTTCCACCCTCGTTCCTCATCAGCAAAATGGTGAAAAAAAACACAAACAAAACACTCCTTAAAACCACAAACTTTGTGTAATGGACAAACATTTCAGAGCAAATGCACGTTCATGCATGCAAAAAAACCATCATAACCTAAGAATTCTTTACCTGTAGTTTGTGTAAGCACCGGAACCATTCCAATCGCCCTGGCCACGAAAGTGAAGAAAAGAAACAATAATTAGTGACAAAAGTCCCATGCCCTGACAGTACTTATAAGTGACAGATTTCCCATGTTATAGGTACGACAGTACCTATAACCAGTGGCGGAGCCACATAGGAGCAAATGGGTGCAGTTGCACCCACTCAGTTGGATTAAAAAGGTTTATATTTAATACTGTGAATATTATATTGCTTAGCAGAAATGCTTGAACAGCCTTGAAGGCATGCGCATCATCTCCACATGCCTGAGTTCGATTCCCCCAATGTCATTTTTTTAACCCTTTTATAAACTATGTCTTGTAATGTTTTAATTTACACTATATATTTTTTATTTACACTTTATTTTGACCCCACTCCACCAAACATCTGGCTCCGCCACTGCCTATAACATCTCCAACTGATAATAAGAGACAAAAGTCCCAAAACATATACAAAGCACACCAAGCCTAAAAACCAGCTCCTCGTTTAAGTTTTCAAACTGAAACCATAAACCAGCCCACTTAAAAGCCTGAAGTCATTTATGGGTACCGCACCATAGGCAATGTATTCTTCATGGATTGAACCCCAGTGGTCAGTAAATTCATCACTCAAAGCATGGTTCACAACACATCCAGGTGAGCAACAGCAAGACCAATTTGCATTAGCATTCTCCACTGTCTAGTGGAAAACTGCAGTAAACCATGGTCATCCAAAGGAATTTGACCAAATTTGCAGCAAATGCTCTTCCCAAAAATCACAGCATAAAATATGGAGTAAATTGAAGGAGAAACCCGAAATGGGGTTGAGAATGGTGTTTGGAATGGTGGAGATCGCGCTGCTTTTATAGGGTAGGAAGTACGGGCATCCAACTCCCTGGGCGTCCAACTTTGGACGCCCGTCCCCTGACCACGTGTTCCGTCCATTCCTGCTGCGCCGCGTGTCAATATTTCCGACTTCCCCGGGCGTCCAATCGTGATTCCTTGCAAATTTGGGCCCACTTCACCTCCAATCGTGATTCCTTGCAAATTTGGGCCCGAAATTGTTCTGTATTGACCCAATTGGCTCCCGAACAATAATTTCTACCTTCGGAGTATTATGATCTTTAAAATCTGAAACTTTTTATCCAACTAGTATTTAACCCGTGCAATGCACGGGGTCGAACGCATGTTATTTTTAACTCTGTCAAATATTTGTTTTAAGTAAATAATTATAAAATAAAGGTAAATATAATATACAATGTTATAATTTTAATGAATGATACAACATAAAGAGAGTATTTTAAGTAAAATTCATGTATTTTAAAATTGAAAAGAACATATAAATGTATTAATTAAATCCAAATTTTTTAGAAAACTTTACAGTAAATAACATTTTTTGGTGCAATTGCAAAAGTTACCGTTGTCATCTAAAACTAACACTTTCAATGGAGGAAGTAGTATTGAAGAATTTAGTTGAAGATTTTGTTCTTTATCACTATGATCACTATGATTGGAGTATTTTTAAAATTGCAAGAGCATAGTTCAATTTTAAAGTTCAATCTTTAAATGGCACATTTTGGATCCCATTTAAAGAGCATAGTTCAATTTTATAATAATATCAACATAATAATGATAATTTTAAGACAAACTACTCCAAAGATTTTATAATTCAGGAAGGAATTTAAAGAAAAATTACAGGATTGGAAAGGAATACAATTTTAGTAAATTTAATATCAATGTACTCCATCCAATATGAATTTTAAGAAATAAAATTACTGTTCGTTGATGTGTTGGCATCAAAGAAGGAAACGAATCTAGGAACAAAGAAGGAAAGTATTTTGCTTCATTCCTTGTAAAATTTGTCATATCGTCCACACTCTGTTCCAGCCGAATATCATCAAATTCTATAAAATCTTCAATCAAATTCTGCAAGATAAAGAGCAAAAATACTCCAATCATAGTGATCATAGTGATAAAGAACAAAATCTTCAATCAAATTCTTCAATTTTAAAAGTTGCTACAAAAATACTTCATAGCTTAATAGAGTCGAGTATCGTAGTTACAGTCAACCTTTACACATGATGATGCATCGTCAATAAAAAACTATGCTTTGACACTTTTTCCCCAATCGAATATCCCAAAGCAATATGAGTCTATTACCAAGACATGTTCATAAATTAACAATTTATAAGCAAACTAAAATTCATATGTGACTTTACAAATAAATAAAAGGTCAGAACTATATTAGTTAAAGATAAGCAAATCTTTTTTACAGTTGTATCCACTAATTCTTAAAAGTTCTCTCAAACTAAAATGCAAGCAACTCTATGATTTATTTTCTAAAATACATTATTATGAATTGAATGAGGAAGACTTTAATAAGTAACGTACCATCTTAGAATGACCAAAGTGGGAAGAGTAAATAAAGTAGCATCCTCCCCACAACTACTGAACAGTGTGGGAGGTGTTGTATCAGTTTGGACCTGCAAAATTTGTGTTCTTGAAACAATGATGTCAAACATTTGATCTATATTAGGCACTTTATATAGTTGAATGCCATTTTAACTGAAGATGAATTTAAGAGAATTAAATACCTATATTGAGTTGGAATATGTAAGAAAGAGGTGAATTCTTCTTTATCCATTGTCTTCAAGACGAACTTTTGCAAGTCCATTTGTCACCGCCTTTTTTTGCTCGACCCGTTGAAATCTATGGCAAGATTTTACAATCTTCCTCCTTCACTGTTAATTCAAATTGTTGCTTGACCCACAACAATACATCAAACGGAGTAATCTTCTTTAATTGAAAAGAAAGATTAAAAATAGACATGTGAATACCAATTTTTGCCAAGATCATTAAATCTTTTGTTGCTTCCAATGTATAAATCTTTTTATTTTTCAAAAGAGAGTAAACAAAAACCCAAATGAACTATAACTCTTTGTCAATTAAAATAATGAATTAATAAAAAAACATTTAAAAATATTGTAAGATTGAGTTCATTACTTGTGGGAAAATAATGGATGTCATATAGTAGAGAAAATAACTCAACTAAATTTTTTAAGGAAAAAGGTGAATGGATGATGGAGAATGTACCCGAACCACTATTACCGTGTTCATAACCTCCTCTCTATTGTTCTTGAATGGCTTTCTACATGAACAGAATACAATTGCAATTACACAACAAAAAATGAAGAAGAATAATATAAATATTGAAAATTCATTTTTTTTTTATAAAAATGATACCAATATGATCTAAAATGCACTGAGCCATAGCTACTCTCTACTAATGTCGAACCTAGAGTTCTAAACTCCAAAAAACTTTAAATCTGATTGTAAATATAAAGATACAAAAACATAGAAGTGATAGTATACCCTTAAAGAATTCAATTCATCCAAAAACTTATGTTGTTTTGTGCACGTTGCATAGGGGCTGGTAGTTATACTTATAAACAATAATGATTTTGTAATTCGTGTAGTATAGCATAAAACAAAACGAATCCATGTCTAGTCAACCGCATACTACCATGTCGGTGCTCAACTGTGTCATAGGAAAGAAACTTAAAAAGTATTCTTGGTGTACCTTGTACAATAAAAAAACACTTTAGAAAATATTGGCATCATGGTTGAGTTCTCAAAGTTGTGATTCACACACCTATTAAAAACACTATTGCTTTGTGTTTATAGAGCCTTGCGAGTGGTAGAGTTCTTACCAACATCAACCTGGTTTTTTCTTACTCTTTCTCATTGTTTGAAGCTCAGATAACAAAAAGGTACACAAAGATCCAATTGAAGAAAAATAAGAAAAAAAATGAATACCTCATTTTGGGGTTCAATACTGCTCCTCGTCAACATGGCAGAGTCTATAATAGCATATAATAGCATCTGTGACCATATCAGTTACCTTGAATCTTATCAAAATTTTTGAAACTATACCCTTCAATCACATCCCTGCCACAACATTTCATAAAAATCCAAATATCATATCAAAAATGAAAAACAAAAGAAATCCCAAAAATTAATAAAATTCATGCAAAAAAATAAAAACCTAACTCTAAAATCAAGTGCTAGAGAAAAGAAAATAGAGATGAAAAAGCAACAGGAGAGATATACTATCTTTAAAACATCAAAATAAGCAGAATGTTTTTTTAAGCTCTTGAATTAAATCACTTATTTATATATAAATATATACTACAAAAATAAAATATTTTAAAAATATGTTTCAAAATAAATCTATTGATATTAAGTGTATATGAAAATTCAATATGTTTTTTTCCATAATATACGATCAAAGTTTAAAAAGTGCTCAAATATGTCAAACAAAAAATAGTAAACATATTGTAATATTAAAAAACAATGCACAACTCATGTTACTATACAAACATATCTCAATATTAAAAAATAATGCTCCGTAAGTAATCATCTAGAAGCAACTAACAAAACATGACATTGTTTTTTAGGCTAAAAAAACTTTTGACAGTGGAGAAGAGAAATGCATGGCGTGCATTATATTGTAACCTCACATTAGCAATAAGTAAGAGAATATATTACCTTTGGTATTCATAAGCTGATTTGGTTGTAGCCATACCATTTGAATGACCATGTTCGATCTTATCTTAAAAATCCAAATCTATCAACTCTAGGCAATATTTTTGAATTCAGCTTCAAATAACTTCTTTTCCATTCCTTATCAGATGAATATACCAAATTCATTGAGTAACACTGAGAAACACATAAAAAGCATGTTAAAGCAAAAATGATAAAGAGATCCAACAATTATAAACTGAAATTCGATCAATTTAGAAAATCATCGAAGAAGTAAATAACTTTAATAATCCTCTCACAATTGAACAGAATTAGACATCTCAATAGGATCCCAAGAATGCTGACAATTAACTCACTTAAAGAGATGCCTAATTGTTCATTGTTTTGATTGAATGGGAGCACGGGTCATAAAAAGCCAAACTCACGAGAATTTGGTGATGAGTGATCACCAGATTCTTGCTGTTTACAGATCATACTTATACTAGATCATACTTATACTGGTGTTTATCATGTTAAAATCAAGATTCATTTTTCCCCAGAGGAAGAAAAAAAACTCCAGTTCGTATTCTAGGCTTGATTCTGTACCTGATTTGATCCTTCATATTTCAAAAGATTTGCCTCTGAACAGCGGGTTGTGGTTTGAGATTGAACATTGCCCGTTGCTTTGAAAAAATGCATTTTTATTTTTTTCTGGAAAAAATTCCTAAATTTTCACAACGCGATGGGTGGCCAAAAATCCAAGATTTGTAAGTAAAAAAATCAAGAAGTATTCAAATTTAGTAAACTTAAATTCGAAAATTGGAAACAAATTATACGCTGGAAATTTGGAAACAAATCGAGTTGGAAATTATATTCGAAATTTGAAAAGAAACCTAAATTAGAAATTTGGAACCTAAATCCAAGTTTGGAAAAAAACCTAATTTGAAATTTGGAAACAAACCTCGAAATCTTCTCATTGCGGTTCTCTGATGCCGATTATATGGAACCTTTCATTCCCTAAAGAATCTGCATGTTTCGATTGGTGTAGATGCGAAGAAAGTCAGATGCGAAGAATCAGCGTATATCCCTGAAGAATCGCGGTTCTCTGAAGCGTAGAAAGTGAGATTTGGTTTCTTTAGGGATTTTGGGGGATTTCAAAAAAAATAGACCTCTAAAACTGCCACATGTCAAAATTCTAAACTATCAACTCTCAAATATTATATTAAAGGATTTGGGCATAAAATTGACAAATCCACTTATGGTCTGTTTGGGAACATGGATTTGGATTTGAAATCTAGATTTAATACAAATACCTTGTTTGGCAACCTAAAGAATTTGAATTTAAATTTCATCCAAATTCCTCTCATTAATAACCAACCCAATTACAAATTCATACCCAAGCCCATGTCATTTGAATTCCTAGCCCAATTAAAATTAAATCTCCACATTCACTTCTCTCTCGTCATTCGCCTCTCTTCCATCGGCTTTCTCCAGTTTTAGTCGTTCATCTCAATCATCCATACGATCACGATCTTGAAGCACAAATCGGACGATGGGCTAGTCGACGGAACAGATTGCTCAGCTTGACTGAGTGCGTTCCGGGAAGACGAGATTCTCCGGCTGCTCCCGAAGTGTAACCACGCCTTCCACATCTGTTGCATCGACACGTGGCTGAGATAGCACACGAATTGCCCGCTGTGTCGCGCCGCCGTTGTCTTCACAACCGCAAATTGGACTGGAAATGAATTGATTCAAGAGCCCGAGATTCTTCGGTTGACGGAAATTGAGGAAAGTAGAGAGACGGTCGATGAAGAAGAAGAACCCGACGCTCACGAATCTGATGGCGGCGAGAAGATCGGAAAGTAATTGAAGAAATTCGTGTTCAGGCGGAAGATTGGATCCAGGAGGCGGTGGGAGTAGCAGGAGTTCGAGGATGCCGAGAATGGTCGGCGGCGGTTCAATAGCAGAGTGTCTGCACAAGAGGCCAGTTTTGGTGAAGATGCCATTCTCGTATGGAGGAAGAAGGTCCATGTCTTGCAGACATTAATGCTCCTTTCTCCCTCTCGTCATTTTGAGTATATTTTGTTTATGAAACATTTAGTCATCATGTTATTTGATATTATGTTTACAATATTTTATTCATTAAAGATTTGAAATGAAATTTTGCCAAACAACATCAGCATTTTAATTCTAGAATTGAAATTATGAATTTCCCAAACAGCATTTGGATTTGAAATTATGAATTTTGAATTTCTTGTGTTTGCCAAACACCAAAATGGAATTTGAATTATGGAATTTCAAATTATAGAATTGAAATTCAAAAATTGAAATGAATTCCCCTATCCAAACACTACCTTAATTTAATTTGGAATCTGTATTTTATTCTTCTTGAGACAAAACATCAGTTTTGTCACTAGTAGACACTTTTAATAGGTAAATTTTACTATTTTCGTGCAATAACGCTTAAAATATGTAGAATAAAATAAGAACAAAATGAACTTATCAATAAACCAAATAAAAGGGAAGATAGATACACACTCTTATTTTATTTGGGGCTATTTCTTTTCACACAATAATAATCACTACTATTATATGAAATAAACTCAAAATACACACTCAAAAGTAGTCAACTTTAGAGATATTTAATTAGGAAATGGGGAGAACTAGCTTCACACTAATTCAAATATTTTACTCAAGGAGTAAAGAGAATAAAAATACAATATGGTGCTCCATTACAAGGCCCTTAGCCGAAATAAATAAGGGGGAAGAAAACTAAGGGGAAGCTTCCTACCACTTTCCTAAAATCAAGTGTATAATATCCATTTGTTTGATTCCTTTGGTTTGTCCTCATTGATCAAGGTTAAAGAGTGAATATGGGGTGTCTTTGATGAGGGGAATTCAGCCATGTGAAGGGTGAGGGAAAGAGGTGGGTTGGCAATGTGAAGGGTGAGGTGAGGGGATGGATTTTTGGTCCACACATGAGGAATAATACATCAAGAATTATCCTTTATTCCTTTGGCTTTATTGTGGATTTGGAAGGTGATAAATGGGCCATTTGGGGGGCTGAATTCGGCCATGGGTACAAGGGGGTGTGAAAGGGTGTGGGTTTGATGTATTATCACAATAGAACAAAAGACATGTTTTATTCCTTGTCCCCTGGTTTGTTCCTCTTGTAGTGGGGGATGTTTGTGATAGATGGGGACTGATTTTAAGGACAAATGTGGGCGTATTTTCGTGACTTTGAAGTAGGAAGGGGTGGGGAAGGTTCTTATTTGAAGTAAGGAATATTTAAGGAAGAAAACAACACTCACATTATTTTTGGGTAATACTTTTCCTTTCAATTTCGGCCATCAAGGGAGAGGAAAAGGACTTTATTTGAGTAGTAAATGAAAATAAAATACTTTTGGTTATGTGGGAGTGGGTTGGGCTTGTAGGCATTTCGGTCTAGGTTGGGTTTTGGGAGAGATAGGTCATGGTTTGGGTTTTGGTGTGGGATGAATCAATGAGTTCAACCCAAAATGGATCATAACATCTAGACATTAAATACTTGATTTCTTTTAATACTTGTGGCGTGTGTGAAGGTGTAACCCGGGATATATCAGCTGCTTCATCTTCTTTCGTCTCCGGTTGCCCGACCTGGCAAATGGAGGAGCGGCACGAATTCCGGCAATTCATTCCTTTTTCAACTAGCTGGTTGTCATAAAATTAGGTATAACCGGGTGTACGATATAATTTGGAGGTAAATATACTATAGTTAATAAAAAAACAGTCAGATTTACGGGTTTTCTCTTCATCTCTCCTTTCTTTCACCCAAAAACATGCTAAAAAATCTAGGCTAATCTTCAAGCTCCTTCAATAGCAATGGAAGCTCTGCACTGCTCCTTCGTCTACTCCATTCCATTAAAACCCCCGTCACGGAGCTCCTTCAAGAACCCCAAATTCAAACGACCCAAACTTTCATGCTCCCTCAGGCCCGACCCGTGGACCCTTAGCGACGGCAACGACAAGAACCTCAACAAGCCGAAACCCAGGCACAAGAATCCCAAAAACCCACTGTCGGACGACAACGCGCGCCGCATAATCAAAGGCAAGGCCCGATACTTAAGCGCCTTGAGGCGCAACCTGGGATCACAAGTTCAGACCCCTAAGTGGATCAAGAGGACGCCGGAGCAGATGCTGCAGTACTTAGAGGACGACAGGAATGGTCGCTTGTACGGAAAACACGTAATAGCGGCAATCAATGTTGTTCGGAGCCTT